TAAGTCTATTACAATATTAAAATAAAAAAAAAACCTACTTTTTCTTTATTTGTCAGCATTGATAGATCTATGAAAGAGAAATCCCTTAGTTGTCAATAAAAACCTATTTCCAAGAGTCATCCCTGCTGTGCTGAGTACATATGGGTTACAAAGCACCAATAAATTCAGGTACAGATTTTAGAAGTAACTACTGCCTTAGTCTGTGTATAGACTTAAAATATTTATTTCAGTTGATAAATCAATTGGAACATGTTTACAATATCAGCCTCTCACATTAATAGTTTATCTTGGTGATCATCTCCTAGTTTGGGGGGTTGTAAATATTWTGTATACACAAACAGAAAGCAAATATTAAGCAAATCCAATCTAGTACTCTTAAAAATGAGTACTGCATAAACAAAACATAAATGCACATGGCAATTTTATGTTCTAAATCCACCCACACAGTTGTTCTCAGCAATTCAGGAACAGAGTTGCATGGGCAGATTGACAGAATTTGAGTTACAGACATCTGTGCTGAAATAATGATCAGCATATGAAGGTTTTGTTCATTAAGCAACTGATTAAGGTCTTGGGTTTTTTATTTATTTTATGCTTGAAAAGAAAATAAATACAATCACAGCARCAACAACAACAAAAGAAGAATAAGTTCAAGGTACTCTGTTTCCTTCATTCACTCTAAGTGATCTGCTCATCTTGAAACATAATCTTAAAGCTACTCCAGGAACAAGCCATGATAAACAAACTTGCACGTATGAAAGTGATCTTAAAAATCTGGAAAAAAATGAATAAATTACAGGTTCCTATTTTCCTTAGCTGCTGCCAACACCACACTGGTCCCTAACAGACCAAATGTCCAACTGCCAGTCCCCATGATTTGTTTGTCTCAGTGTCTAAAAGTGAGAGCTCAGCTTAAAATCCAAACCAGGAAGTCTTTTCCTGGGACATTGTATTTATATTAACTGTACAAAATTTTATGGTCTTAAAAAGTYCACAATCTTTCTTTGAACCCTACTAGGGTGAGTGGCCTCATTTTGCCTCAAGTGCCTCCTATGGCAGCAAGATTTACAGTCTAATTACCCATTATGTCAGCAAGCCTGATAAGCAAAGCAGTCTTGGCAAAAGTCTAGAAACTAAAGTGATGTACCAAAAGTCTAAGACAAAACCGAATTGATTCCTTTAAAGGAAAGACTTTATGCTTTTTTAAATTTTTTTTTTTTAATTTATTTTTTTTTTTATTTTGCCATGGAATGTTCTCATGCTCCTGTGGTACACAAACAACAGCAGAACCTCCATTTGTAACTGTAATTTTATTCATGTTATCCTCCCATGCAACTCTCTTGCAAGGTAAACAATTCTTCGGTTTTGTAGGCTAGAACAAGAGGGAGATCACACCTAGGTTTTGTTACAACAGCTTGCAGCARTAAAGTTTCACACCTTACTTTTAAACATCAAGACTTGAATTGATTAACTGAAAAAGAGGATAAATTTGTACGTTTTTCACAGCTTCCTTGGAGCTCCAGGGCACGAACCTTTTCTTTCTGTGGCTTTCAATCAATATTGAATGACTTCTCAAGAATTTGATTCAAAAACAACAATGAAGAAAGAACTAGTTACACAATGATTGTTATCTCAAGGCATGACCTTCCACAAAACCTGCGTTCCTGTGGTACGGCAGCACAGATTCATAACGGAAAAAAAGGCAGAAGAGCGAGATACCACACAGCTTTAGCCARTGAGCTTACCAGGCACACCTATTTCTTCTGGGAAATGTTGGAACAGCTGAACTGGAGAAGCTGTAGTGCATCTGCAGACAGATATGCCCAGAATCGTTACAGTATGAACTAGAGCCCCTGGATTTCAAAAGGTCAGGACCGTTACCACACAAACCTACCCTTAGTTCACATCATTCCATTCTAAAAGAATACATGTGCCACACGTTCAGGGTCTTCTGCTCTATTACAGGCAGACTTGTAATCAAACCACTTTTAGTTTATTTGTCTCAGGAGTAAATAGAATCCTGATCAGCAAATTCTTTTCAACCATAAATTATGCAGCACATCTTCCAGTTCATTAATACTGCCTAGTCTTGAAAGCTACAGGGATTTCAGAAGGATTTTCCTGTAACATTTACAAAATATTTCCATAAATTCCGTACTTACTGAGCAAATAACATATCCTCTCCAGTTAATGTTCCTAACACAGAGTCAGAACATCGACTCAGGATATCACGYATGGAGCATCCAGCTGGTTCCCTTGATAGGAGAATAGCACAGACTTTGTGGGCTTGAAATTTCCCMAAGATGAAAACCTGCCTTCAGGAAAATAGAAACAGGTAAGAACTGTTGCAGCAAAGACCCAGTGCTCTGGCTCATAGCCCCGCTCTCCATCTGAAGTAAATAGATGTGCAGGGGTCACAAGGGCTTCCCTTGTTACTGAACACTGGTTATCCTGTGTAGGATGTGTCTGTTCAAAAGGGGATAAATCCAAGACAACGCAAGGCTTCCTTTTGCCACCRCCAAAATCAAATTCTAAAATCTAACTAGAAGGCGTTACACGGGTGGGTAAAGAAATCRCATCGCACATGTTTTATATGGGTATTTTACTTTCCAAAATATCTCCTAAGAATAGATCTTCCCCCAGTTTATAAGCAAAGTACATTTTAATAGTTTTCACTCAGTGCATGACCACAGATATTTTTATAGCAAACACATCTTCAAAACTGCATGTAAGACTCTCAGTAGGCAATAATCTAAATGGTGTGGGTCACTAACGATTAAACATTACCAACAAATGATGCTTTTTAGCAAGGCCTCAGTATGTTTAATCTTAGCCAACTCACAGCATGAACCTCAGCCATGGATTCACGCTCTTAGACTTGTCACAGCAGGGTGCTCTGGGTCACYGTCAGCATGCCAGCTGGTACCTGCCTGGCATCCAAGGCAGGCACGGAGTGACTGAGGAACACCACAGGCCCAGGGCTTTGTGCAGAACAAGGCTGAGCTGTGTCCTACGGCAGCTGAGTGGCTGCTGACTTCTCAGGAACACCAAATTCACAAACAGAAGCAGTATCGTGTCACGTTCCCCTGGTTCACGATGCTGATTTTGTTTAGCAAAAGCCTTATTTTATGCAATGAATTAAATATTTCAGATGTTTTWGGAAGATGGTGGGAGAGAAGGGAATCCCTTGATAAGAAACACGAGAATCATTTGTTAGAGTGRAGATGCAGCAATTTAGTTCCAGAAAACAAAACCACTGCTCTACCTGTTGCAAAATGTGTTAAATATGTAAGCATTTTTTAAAGAAAGGACATTGTTAGATCTTTGTATATATTCCAGTCTAATCAACAATAAAGCAGAGTTAATCCATGAAACAGCAGCTAACAAGCAAGCTCTTGTAGGGTCCAGGGGCTGAAAAGACAAATTAATTATTGGTAGAATTGCTCTGTTAAACCTTGTTAAGGTTTAAGACTTGGCATGATTTGTTGGTCTTGCACCTAGCAGGAWGTTAACAAAGCTTTGGAAGAAGGATGTACCAATGATAATGGCACAAAGAATAAAGAACTTACAGGCCAAAAGGACATCTGATGAATCTCCCAAGATAAGGAAGAAAGCYTGGCAACTGTGCTGAATCAGGTCCSACTGGGTAAAAGGTAATTCTGGCCATGAGGAGATCGCAACCACTGACTCACAGACCWCTGACTCAAGAAACCCACAGATCCAAGAGAATAGGAAGACTGAGCATGAGAACTAATTAGTGTGGGATACAAGAAAATCATTGACAAATAGAATACYAATTACTAGGAGAACTAGGTGACTTCTAGCCAATAAAGTTTGCTTGCTGAAATACATACAAAGTAATAAGTTTTGGTAGTTGTGTGCWTGAYTTGTGGAATACCACYGAGCACYCAGGATTCCACAACTCTGAAGTAAATATTCAAYGTCTCTCTCGAGTGTGCCTGTGTCAGCAACAGTGTGACCAGCAGGACCARGGAAGTGATTCTTCTGTACTCAGCATTGGTGAGGCCACAACTCCAGTCCTGTGTGCAGATCTGGGCCCCTCTGTTCAGGAAGGATATTGAGCTGCTGGAGGGTGTCCAKWGAAGGGYGATGGAGCTGGGGAAGGRTCTGGAGGACATGTCTGTTGAGGAGTAGCTGAGGGAGCTGGGGCTGTTTAGCCTGGGAAAAAAGGGAACCTCAGGGGTGACCTTGTCCCTCCATGGCTCCCTGAACGGAGGGTGTAGCCAGCTGGGGTCCGCCGCTTCTCCGAGGCAGCCAGGGGCAGGACGAGAGGAAAGGACCTCAAGCTGAACCAGGGGAAGTTTAGGCTGGAATTTCCTCGCAGAAAGAGTGACTGGGCATTGAAATGGGCTGCCCAGGGAGGTGATGGGGTCATTGTCCCTGGAAGTGTTTAAGGAAAAGCTGGACGTGGCACTCAGGTGGGGGTCGGTCACAGAYTGGAGGCGATGCTCTCGGCGGTGTTTTCCAGCCTAACTCTGAGATTATCGCTTGTTGCACAGCAACAATGCGCTTCCCCCTCAGGCGAGGCCGGTCCCGCCGGGAGCGCGCACGGGCTGGGCCGGGCTGGCACGAGAGCCCCGCGCGCTCCCGCCCCCGCCCCCGCCCCGCGAGCGGGCTCGGCACGCGCCGGGGGCGGAGCCCACTTTTGGCCGGCACTGATTGGCTGTCGCGGACCGAGCCCCCTCCGCACCGCCCACCACGGGCTCGCGTCCCTCCCCCACTGTTCTACCGCAGCTGCTCGGCCGCTTAGGGGGGGTTGCCTTTTTTGCCTGGCTGAAAATTGCCGCCGACCTCACTTTTTTCGCCAGAGACAGGCATGCTTGGAAGAGGCGCGGTCCCAATGCTTTAGTACAGGCTACTGATTTTCTTCAGATTTTTTTTTTTTTTTTTAGTCTCGTTCTTTTTGAGGCTTCCAGCTCAGGCATCTGTGCGCGGCGTCCGCGAGCCGGTGGGGCCCTTGAGGGTTAAGGCGTCGCAAAAAGCGCCGGGTGAGGGCGGGGCCGGTCCTTTCGGCGCGGTGTCGCAGCCGGTGCCCGTCCCGGCCCACCATGTACTACAARTTCAGCGGCTTCGCGCAGCGCCTCGTCGGGGTCACGGCGTCCGCCGCCTACACCCCACAGGTAACACCCCACACCCGGGCAGGGGCTGCGGCACCGCGGGCGTTTGTGGAGCCGGGGACGGATCGGCCGCCCCCACGGGCACCGAATGGATCCGGCTCCTCGTGTGACCTTGGGCGAAACGGGAAGCCGCGCTCTGYCGTGCAGCCCTTGAGTCAGCTTTGGGATGATCTGGGGGTTATAGCGAGAAATAAACGCGTTTTCATCATAGAGGACGCCCCCRGAGTTGAGCAGTGCCTGGCGGGGTTTTAAAATCACCGAATCACAGRATCAGTCAGACTAGAARAGACCCCTGAGATCATCGAGACCAGGCTGTGACCGAGCGTGTCCATGTTAACTGGGCCACGGCACCGAGCGCCACGTCCATTCTTCCCTGAAACACCTCCAGGGACGCGGCTCCACCACCTCCCCAGGCATCCCATTCCAATGTTTAAACTCCCTTTCTGTGAAGAAACTCTTCCTGATGTCCAGCCTAAACATCCCCTGGCACAGCTTGAGGCCATTTTCTCTCATCCTGTCTTTAGYTGCTTGGGAGAAGAGTCCAACTCCCACCAGGCTCTTTTCAGGAGTGGTAAGGTCACCCCTGAGCCTCTTTTTCTCCAGGCTAAACAGCCCCARCTYCCTCAGCTGCTCCTCAACAGAATTGTGCTCCAGACCCTTCCCCAGCTCCATTGCCCTTCTCTGTAGTTACTCCTCAAGAGTACTCCTTGAGGTGAGGGTCCCAGGACTGGACATTGTACTGTAAATTGCAGTTGGCAAGCAGGAACAAGGCTGTAGGTTGCCCCCTCTCTTGTGTCCATGCATGCAGAAAAAAAAAAAAAAAAAAAAAAGACTGAAAGCATTAGAAGGGAGCTTTACAAGGGAGGACACAAATCTCTAAAAGTTTGTTTAAAGCAAAATGAAAACTCACCTTTCCTGTTCATGATGCCAGCTTAGTAAATCAATGTCTCTAGTTAAAGGTGGCATTAAATAAGCTTATACTTTTTACACTACTTAGTGAAAATGCATGGTTAATTCTTCAGGAGCAAATCAAACCTGARTGAGGGGGCAATGAATCCCAAGTACATCAGTCATTTCAAGACAGAGAGAGTTGCATGCTGGTAAAAATAAATCACAGAAGTTGTTTGCTTTTCTGTACATCAGCATAGATTCCTAAGTAAAATTAGGAAGATTTGTGAYGAGGTTTTGTCATAGGACAAGTGCAGCATGGTTGTTACACCATGTTCAATTTTCTGAGTAAAGTCTGAAAAAAAATTCTTGCTGTTTAAAGAAAAACCAAAACAATAAAAAATTTTAACCTGGAGGTTAAGAATTGTAAGTCAACCTTTCAAAGAACTACCTTCAGAAAGCAAACATCTGATTAAACAACACTAATCTTAAAAAAAGTAGATACATGTGGACTCAAACAAATGAAGTCAAAATTATGGTTGGTCTTTTCCCCAATAAATTCATTAATAAAAAATAACTGAAATTACTTAAAGTCACTACGTTCTTGTAGACTAATGTGTATTGTTRTGATACACAGCTCTGTTTAATTCTTAGCCTGTCAGTTCTGTTAGCAACCTACTTTACAGTTCTACTTTCCTGGATATCCTTGACTATGAGAGTTTTACTTGGAAAATCCAGTCAAATACTGGAGGTATTAAGCAGCTGTAAAATCTCAGATTATTCTCAAGGGACCCAGAACATTATTTTTTTTTTTTTTATGTTAAGAGGACTTGATGATCAGACTGAGTACAATGGTTAATGGGTCATGCTCTTCTAGGATGCTCCTAACAAGTGCAATGCTGCAGGTTACTGCAGGACTTTTATCATTTTCCTGGAGCAAGCAATAGAGTGCACTCTTATAAAGTTTACAGAAGATATCAAGGGAGTGGCCCCAAAAAGTAGCGTTGCCATTCAGASAAACCCATAAAGAGTGGGAATGATCTGACAGGAATGCTGTGAACTTCTGTGATGGAAAAAGGCAAAATTGTACATGTAGAAAGGAAGATCCCAGGCATGGTTACAGTGTGGCAACTGAGGATCTGATGGCAGCAGCTTTATGATAGAGCCCCTGCAGGCATTGCCAGGAGCAATGCCAAGGATGCCAGCAGCATCCTGGGCTGTAGCACCATGTGCAGAGCTGTAGATTAAGGAAAGCAGCACTATCCCTCTGCTCAAGATTGGTTGGAGCACATTTAGGTGCTGTGCCCAGCTGTGGGCCCCCTGCTATGGGAATGTCAGCTGGAGCAGCTTCAGCAGGGGGSTCAGCAAGATGCTCAGCACCAGCTCAGGTTATTAAGATGGAGCCAGGCTTTACACAGGGCCCCATGGTGGGAAGGCAAAAGACACCAGACAGAAACTGCAACAAGAGAGGTTCAAACTGGATAGAAGGAAAGATGTTCATGGTGGGAAGGGGCAGACACTGGAGTGTCTGCCTAGAGAGGAACATTGTGAACTCTGTCCTCAGAGGCACTCATGGCCAGGCCAGACAAAACCCACAGCAGCCTGGTGTCACCTCTCTTCTAAACTAAAGACTAAAGAGTACTCAAGGGCTCTTCCATCCTGAATTACCCTGSGATCTTAAGTAAACATTGAGGTAACAGAGACGTTCTGGTGTAGCAGTTTCTTGCCAAAGATGGTTTCTTGTCCTTCTCTTTCCTTATCACTTTGGAAGGCTCCTTGGATAGCTGTTGGGGGGCAGGGGTGCAAGAAACAGAGAAGAATAAATATGTTCTAGTATGTCTGTTTGATAAGAATATATCCAACACTACTGCAATGTTTGGGGCACTTCTTACCTCTTCTAGAGAAAGACATTTTCAGAATTCAAAGTTATTTTCAAGCATTTAAACTTCATTTATATAGTGGAGAGCAAAGGCTTGGGGATGGAATGGGGCAAGGCTTCAAGCTTAAAGTCTTTTCTGGAAGTTATATATAAAGTTACTTTCATTCCTTTTTTACGATGTTATTAGGCCGACTTTTTGGTAGAATTTCCTTTCTTTTCCCCCTTAAGTTTTACTGAATTCCCAGGTCACAGACTTAGATGTGTCAGTTTGCTAAAAATGTTTTCAATAAACAGCAATTGAAATACAAGGATAATCCCATGAGTATGGAGGTGTCAAGTCCAAAAGAAAGTAAATTTTTTCCTATTGATTTCATTGCTCCATTTAATAAAACTATAGATCAGCATGTAAAGTGTTTGCTTTTAATGTTGCTATTTATTTTGATGTTTCAAAAAGTGAAGACATCCTACAATTCAAATTCTCCTTGATAAAAYATGCAGTATAATAATTCCCTTTCTTCTGTGCTGTTACATTCTGGTTCTTCCCAATGGAGTGCTGTTTTGCTGCAGGTATAAGCTTATTGTGGGTTTGCAAAATATGAGTCCAAATATATTTCAGGTGTCCAAATGTATTTCAGAAATTCTTTTGCTGACAGTAATATAACTAACAGGTTATACTAACAATATCTCTTGAATTTGAAATCTGTATTGTTCTTTCCATCTCAGACTTAGCATTCTTAAAAGACTTAATTTTGCCTTTAACAAAGTTGTATAAAGTCGTCTAAACAATTTGTCTTATTTGAGTAAGTGGGAACTTCCAAAGCTAGTTGAGGAGTGAAATAGCTTGAAAACTAGTCCTCCTATTTAGGTGGATAACGACTGCCATAACTGTTACAAATTAAATGAACAATATTCATTAAAGACTTGGTTTATGTTTAAATTACAAGCAGTGGCATCAGTTTTAGATGAGGACAAGTTATATCAACTTTTCTCTAGTTCATCTACTGAACATCAACTTAGTAGAAATTTACTTATGCTACRATACCTTCACTTGATACAATTTATTTTGCTTGTAGCTGTTAAAAGCCCAGATGAGACAGAGACTTTTTGATTTTAACCAATATGAATTGCTCTTTTTTGAGAATCTATAATATGTAGCCTTTTATGCCATAGATGATACTTAATACACAAAATCACTGTTACTGAAGTATGTCATACCAATACAAAGTGATCTTAACTAAGAGTCCTGTGTTAGTGATTACAAATATATTTAACTTTATAAAATGAGGGGTGTTCTACTGTGAAGGACTTGCTACTTGGTTTAGAAGTGTCTAGGTTGAGCAGGTTCATGAAAGTTATTTTAATGCATGTTCTGAAATACTGATTCTCAGAGTAACTTTCCTGTCCCCTTTTTCCTTTGGCCCTTATSTCCGTTTTCTCTCTCATTACCTGATCTGTTTGAACAATTCCCCTATCACTTAAAAGCTTAAGAGTGGTGTTGTCTCCATTAAATTATTATTCAAATCCTTAACTGTTTTGGATGTCAGGAAAATGTAAATCTTACTTGCAAATTCATACTAGCAAGGTGTAAGTTTGTTTTAACTTGGAGCCTGATGGCCAACCACCAGATGCATTGGGTTCTGAGATCTTCAGATGTCTGACAGGAAAACAAACACACTGCAGAAGTGTAGGCAGAGAATTCTGTTTGCTCTTTTGGATTAGCTACATATCTTGACCTTTCATTGAGGACTTCAGCATTTGAAAAAATCATTGCTTTAGCATGCTGATGGAATCAGCTGATSTTGGCTTTCCTGCATAACTACATGTGCTGTACTTTGTCCAAGAATTGGAAAGAAAGTCATGTTATGCTGATTAGAAATAAAAGATTAACACCTTAATACCAGAAGCAAAATTATCAATGTATAACTTTTTTTTTTTTAAATGAAGCATAGGTCAAATGTATAGAGGCATTAATTCCTCAGTACTGTCCTGAGACACTGATGTAATTTAATAAATCTTTGGTTTTGATAATTAAATGCAGGGACTAAGGGTCATTTAAGGTGTCTCAGTTCTTACTTAAAAATTATCTGTAGTGAGATTCAGCCGTTACATTACACTGTGGATTTCTCCTCAGCCATGCTAAACTTAGTGAGCTGGRTGTGAGATAAAGCACTTGCCACTTTCTCTCGATAACCACAGACAAGTACCAAGTTGGAACAGCTAGGCATTTGCACTAATTTAACTGGGCTTGGTTGAAGTTGGCCACAAGATTCACAATTCATGGGTGGAATTCAAATGAAATTGGAGGGAGGAACCCTAATCAATGCAGTGTCTAGGTTAAGCAAACTGAACTGTGTTCCTTGAGCACAACAAGCAGGAATTGCTGTGATATACTAACTGTTGAAGTTACTAGATGGCACTGCTCCTGAAAACATTAGGCTCTTGGGAAGGCAAAAGGAARATTCAAAATTGAAAACTGAGGCAGAGAAAAGATGTGCATTTTCACATTTGGTGMTGTACTAACAATCAAGAGGGCAAGAAAAGCTTTGGAGAAAAAGTCACCTGCACCTTTGTTATAGACATCTGTTCTGTAGTTATTTCTATCTAATCATCAACTTTTAAAAAACAGATCTGATAAAGTACTTAAAGTTCCTGTAGGCAAAATACTTGTCCAAAGTTGCTTTCTTCAAGCCTTTGATGCAGCTGCTACTTAGCCTTGATATATAGGCAGTAACTTCCCATGACTAATAGTAGTTCCCTAGATGCTTCCTTCATAGCACTGTGGCCAGACCTGTGTATACCTTCTGTGCAAGCCTGTTCAGTAGAAAGGCAGTTACTGAATGTACCTAAGAATTCCATTTTGCTTGCTGCCTTTCAAAACAACCAGAAATGTCACAAATGGATTCTAATGTTTGTTCAGGCACTAGAAGAATGGGAAGCTGAACCCATATCTTCAGGACAGAGCACTGATGACCATTCCATAGACTATTTTGGGAAGCTTAGAAGCCTGTTTTTTCTGCTGAAGATGGCTGTTATAGCAGAGAATTTACATATGGAAAACACATCTGGTCTATGGCTGGCACAAAAGAAAAAGTGCCAGTTTGCTTCCAGCTCCAAATACTGACAGACAGTTTTCTTCAATACAAAATGCATCAACTAGTCCTTTGAATAGAAACCAGAATTTCAGCTCAGTCTTAACTTGACCCATGGCTGCTTCTGTTTGTAATAAAAACCTGTTGCATTAAACTAACTGTGCAGAAAAATTGCAGCTGTTTTGAGACCCATAATGTAAAACATCACTGCCACATGTCCAGACATAACTGTCAAATCTAACTRGAATAATAGAGACAAGGAAGCCACCTCACGTTGGCTGTGACTCAATCATAGAACTGAATTAGGTGGTTTCTAGTTCTGGCAAATGTAGAGTATAACCATGCGTACCAAAAGGAAGTTGACCTCTGCTGCTTGTGGAGAGTACACTGAGATGTGGAAACTTGCAGCAACATGTGAATTATAGGATGTCATTATGCCTGCATAAAATAGCCATTGTGTCAGAATCTCTGAAGGGCCTTGAGTACCATGTAAAATTTCTGTGTGACACAAGTGATGTTAATTCTTTGTTTTTGAAACCCCGAACTATGCATCCAAATTATTTAAGGCCCAATTATGTATGGCTACTATTTGCAGCATTCCAGAGGTAGAGTTCATTCCCTGACCCTAGCATCAGGGATCCTTGATCCTAATCTTACTGTTCTGAGTCCTAGATACTCTGTGGGCAAAATACAAACTGTAATTTGGACCAAGTACCAGCACAGAAAAAAAACAGCTATAAATTTATGCCATGAGGAAATTTAAAAGGAGTCTCCTATTTTCCTTGCTAAGCTCTGACCCAGAGTTGTCACTGAGATATCAGTGGGCCAGCACTGTTTTTGTAGCTCATTCAAGTCTTCATGCCAGATAAGTACTCTTTGTAAAGTATCTTTGTAATGGCTGGAAGCGTGCCTGGTTAATGTGACAACTGGTACATTTGCAAGTGTGATATACCTTGATATTTTAATCTTTATTTATGCAGGGACTCAAACCAATAGTTCCCACTGAACCCCCAGCTCCGATTTTTGAGACAAGTAAACTTCCTCCAGATTTGCCAACAGCTGATTCTAACTTGGTTCTAAACAAGGTGCCAGACCTACAGAAAATTTTTCAGGTAATGACAACTTTGAGAGTAACTTAAAGAAAACTGGAGGCTTGGACATATCCGTCCTTATTTTAACATAGCTAACAACTTTTGCCATTCCACAATACCTAAATTCTGTAAAGAATTCTTAGTCAAGAAACTGTCAAGCACACTATAACTTGTGTACCTGTACTATACTGTCAAGTGTATATATATGCTTTATATAGAAAATGGAAAGCCTAGTAACCTAGTCTATTTGCTGACTTCAGAAATTTTTGTTGTATTTTTGATTATTTGAAGCACTTCCTCTCTGGCAATCTGCCTTAAAGCAGATGTGGAGGAGCAAAGCAGATCATWACTGTTTTGTGTATAATTGAAAATTACTGAAGCTGTTTATAGTGCAGTATAAGAGCAGCACAATAAAGTTCTCTAAGCCTGTTTATTAGCTATGCAATTTCTAAATTTAGTAGGACTTTTCTTAAAACAAATTAGTTAAGCTTTTTTTTAAGCATCGAGAATGTCCTTTATATAATGTTCCCTTTTCTCTCTTACATGCCACTTCTATTTGGAATATGTCAGTCTGACTTGCTGAATAATTTTTTATACATTTCTTTTCATGTTGTTAGTGACACTTTTCCCATCCAGGTCCTCTTTCTACTATAATCTGATATATTCTTTCTGCTTGCACTAAACAGCTTTGGCTAACAAATATAACTTGCCTTTGCATTTGTTTTGCTGGATAAAACCTACATACCCTTGGTTGTAGTGAGCCTGTTTGTCAGGAGGTTTCCCTCTTGGTAGTCTAGTAATTTACCCAAGGTAGCTCATTCCTCAGTGCTAATTTGTTTTTTGTTTGTTTTCTCCTTGAACTCTTCCCACAGAGATCAGATGGGCTGCCAGTACACCTKAAGCGAGGAGTTCCAGATAAGATGCTCTATCGGACCACGATGGCTCTGACAATAGGAGGGACTATCTACTGTCTGATAGCACTGTACATTGCCTCACAACCAAAAAACCAAAATTAAATGAACCACACTCCATGGACTCACAGCACTTCTCTGAAAGACCTCCTGCATGTACCTCTTTGCACTGGAATCTATTCCCTGTGATCACATAGGGTTCAGATGAGATTTCTAGGAGAAAAATGTTTTTAAATCGGTTGCCTTATATATTCTAAAAAACCAATATAAACAGAGAAATACATGATTTTAACATATGGTTGTAGTTTTTCTTGTCTTGCAGAAGTRTATGAACAGTTGGAGAAAGTTAAGCTTTTCCTTCCTTCCCTCCCCCAACTTAAATAATGTTAGAGAGAGGACCGGACAWATACTTYGTGGCCTATGCACAACATTCCTTAGTGGAAGGATGCTGCTAGTTTCCAAAACACTAAAAACAAATAATTTAATTATTATAGCTTACTGGGAATGTGTTTCTGTCATGTACAACTCACTGTATCTAATCAAGTGGCAGTGGAACTTTACTGTTGGTGTATTATTAAATAATATACCACCTCTGGTGGTAGGACAAAGGATTTGTCTCCTTGRAGCAATTAAGGTGGATTTATTCCATAACTTTAGCATCACTGTGCAGCAGAGTGCACCATTATTGTAGCATCAGTTACACCAATTGTTGGACTTTCCTTTGTTGAACTATATTATTGTGCAATAAAGATGACTACATGAATACTAAAACAGGCAAGTCTCAAAAGTTTCAGACCACTTCAGCACACCTGGTAGTGAAATAAACATAATTGGTATACTTCTAAGTTCAACTTGTAGATCTCAAATCAGAAAATTATTTCAGCTACCTTATTGTCATCTTTTTCAGATGGTAAATCTCTTAAAACCCTCTCCCAGACYGCACTGTGTGTTTAACTATAATTTTTGGTGAAACAAGTCACTGTCATAACTCAGCTGCTTATTATTTTCAGTGCCTGCAGATATTTATGTGCACACATTCACATACATTCCCTTTGCTCTGTGGATGGAAGAGAGACAAACCAATAAAACTCTTTCTGCATTTCCTTTCCCTTGTAATAGCATAGCCTTGAACTGCATATTGCACACAAGTCTTCACAAAAAGCCTCTAATTTCATAGCTCCTCCTCTGTCCCTGAACATTGATTTGATGGCCTCTGTAAGGACCCATCTCCCATAACTCTGCAGAAACAACCTTCAAAGTAAATAAGAAAAATGGTTGATAAATGAAACTAAAATTGCCTTTTTTCAATCTTTCATTAAAAATGTTCTGACTTTTTTTCCAGTTAAGTTACATCAAAACCTTATTACTGTTTCATAGGAAAGAAAATAGCTGCTTGTACGGTTTCAGTATTGGTATTACAGGATGGGAGACATTTAAGTCACAGAAAAATAATTTTGTAAGGACAGCAAGAGTTAAAGAAAACCAGAGAATAATTACATTCTGCAGGAATTGACAGCTCTGTTGCTTATATTGATAAAATATTTTCTCCTCAGTAGCCCATGCTTCCATGGCACTAAATCTTGTGCTGTAGGCTGTTAAATACTACCAAAAAAAAAGGGAGAAAAAACAGTGCAGTAGGTTGTTGTCTGTCTTCCCTACACACCATCTATTAAGCACTGCCTACAAGAATTTTCTAATAAAGGATATTTTGCACATTTACCTGGCAGGTAGATTTTAATGAAGATGAGCTTTTCTCAGAGTATTTCCATCATGCTCTTAGTTTTCTGGTTTGGTTTTGGTTTTATTGGAGGGGTGGCTTTGGATTTTTTTTTTTTTTTTTTTTTTTTTTTTTTTTGTTTTTTGTTTTGTGGTGATGGGGTTTTTTAAAATCAACTATTTTTAGTGCTCACCTACAGGGTAACAACTTTCCTCTTGTTGCTAAAGCAGATGTGAATAAAATAATCAAGCTGTTATCCAGATCATCAGCCACTGGGAATACCCTTCAACTACTTATGAAAGGAATGACAGACTTAGCACTCAGGCCCAGCTTGCTTAAAAGAACTCAGCTAGGAGATTGGGTTCATGTCTTGCAGTTGGAGGTCGTGGCTGAAGCTACGGGTATCAGAATTGCCCTGGGCCTCCCTTTTTCCATCTCTTTGTCAGCAGCTAAGAACACAAAGGGAAGAAAAACCCATCCATCAGATTTTGGAAATAAAGTTAAACTATATAATCCATTGCATCTTTCCCTTCTCCTCAAACTCCCTGGCATCTGGATTTTTAAAAACTCTTTGCTTTGCCCTTTTCACAAAAGTTGACCCAGTTGAAGCAGTTTGATAATTTTACTTCAGCTTGTGAGATTCACACCCCTGGTTCAGTTGGGGGTTAAAGAGCAAAGAGGCTTGTCTGCCATTGAGTACAGCTCCAGGTCARAAAAAGAGGAGACTGCATTTCTATGTTGCCTCAGCAGAGTGTTCTGAAAAACAGGAAAGTTTCCAAGCTGTAATCATATTAGTCTGTGGCAGCAGAAGTCTTGCCCCTTTTCTCAATTAGTTTTGAGATCAGCAGGAAGAAAYTGCAACAAGGTAAATCTTTTTTCTTCCTAGAGAAAAATTCCTCTTTGTTAAATAGACCTATTTTAAAATACTGATGCCAGATTTCTGTGAGGATTCAAGAGGGTTCAAGTGTTTGGAATTGTTATTTGTGAYACAGAGACTTAATCATCATCAGCCTTCAAGAACACCCTTACCTCTAGAAGTAGTCTGACCCTGGCCTGATTTTTAAACGAAGTCTTAAGTTGGARAGCCAGGAGTGACTTGCMGCRTCAAGGCTACTTCARTATTTTCAGTTGTCATCCCCAGAARTAAAAKTCTGAGGGGAATTACAACTTCATTGTGGTGTTATATTCTTATTTTTTAAAGACCCTCAGTTTTGTCTTAAAAAATACGCAACTTACCAACACGGAGGATTAGGGGAAAAAACTCAAACATTTTTTAAATGATAGCTTATACTCTAGTGTTTTGGTTTAAATGTATGTTTGAAAATAAATTATAATAAGCTCTGATACCCCAAGATGCTGAGTTTGGAAGCGAAAACAGCTGAGATTTAGAATACACTGGAACAAAATTATCTCATTGATAATCATCCATCTCCCATGGCATTATGTTATTGTTGAGAGACAGGGGTTTTATTTCTTAAATTATTTTTCTGGCAACCTATTTTCAACAGTTATATCTTTGTAATGGTTTTTAAACAAGATCTCCTCCCTTACCTTTTGTRTGGGAGTAGTAGAATAAATGCATTTGAGAAGATGTTGATAGTATGCACAGATGTCTTTCTGCTGCTTTAAAAATTAAGTGCGTTAAGGAGAGGATTCCTCCACAGTATTTCGGTGTGACCATACAGTCTCAACATTTAAAATTGTCAAAAGACTAATTTTTTCAGTACTAAGACATTAACTGCTTGATCTTGCCTTAAAGCTTTCAAATTAAAAGGCACTGTAAGGAATAAAAACATGAGAAACTGGAAAATTGGGAATCTAATCTTGCAGACCTAAAAAAAAGCCAAAATGAGAGTTTAAGAACTCTCATTTTGCACATATGGGACACATGGTACTTATTCTGTCTTTATTCTCCTTTTTCCCTTCCAAGAGGCTTTAAAAGTCACAGATCAGGTGGGGTTTTTTTTGTGACCCCTCTCACAAACTATCACCCCTGGAGATCCTAAAATCTGAAAAATCCAGATGAAAGAGTAAAAGGGGCAGGTATTGGCTAAGTTGCATGTAAAATCATGCTAAACTGGTCTAAAAAATGTTCATGTTGTCTGCATTTTATGACATAATATACTAAATTTTTCCCCTTTTCAGTCCCTCACCTCAGTGAAGAGTTTCACAAGGAAGCCAAAGCTTGATTTCTGTGTTTAAATGGACGGTGGGTAGAACTTGCCTGTATTCTAAGCATTAATTTTAAGCAAGAAGCACAATAAACAACTTTGTGTTTTGCATATTCAGTACTAATTGCRTCTTCTTTTATAAAAGATCATTAATTTGAAACAATTCCAGTTAGCTGCAGTGCAAGTGATGCACAGATTGCTAAGAGATAGAAGCATATTTGCTGTGAGAGGGAGTGCAAGCATTCCTGTGGATCAGGAAATAGGGTATATGCTGTTAAGCATCAGTGTGGCATCTCACTAATACCAGATTTTATCTCCTGATGCTTCTCACGTGTTCCCAGACTGCTTTTGGATGTGGCACTAGACAGAAGTAACCATGTTTTTTTTTTTTTTTTTTTTTTTTTTTTTTTTTTTACATTAATTAGCTCAAAATACAAGAACGTTGAATTTAAGTGTCTGTTTCCTCACACATATACCCTCCAGACTACTGCAGGCAGCCCAGATCTGGGCTACAAGAAGGCAGTCATCATCCTCTGGCTCCAAAGAGATGTGATATTCCCTGATAAAATGTTTTTCCTGAATGATTTTGACCAGTGATTCCAGTACTGCAAAACTGGGGAGGTGGGAGAGAGGGGGAAGTATTTTTCCTCATTTCACATCAACTGCATATCACTCTCACTTTTCCCCCTTCCTCACTCCCACGTTTTTATTCTGAAGACCATGAAAATTTTCTAGTTACTTCCTTTTTTACAGCATTTCCTAAATATTCTGTCCCACAAAGGAAATGAAATTGTTTCTAAGGGCTTCAAGAGAACTTCTGAATTATTCATATGATACTTATATCATTTGTTACATGTATTTTTTCCCTGCAAGCTGGAATAAGCCCTGGAAGTCTCCTTTGTCAAGTACACAATCCTATAAATCCATGGACACCCTTCAGTGGGAAGTCTTTGTTCTAAAGTGGTGCAAAYGTAGGGTCATCAAAGGACTTGCTGCTTACAAGCATCAGGCTGTGTTTCAAAGAAAGAGAGGAAATACTTCTTCCCTGGARCATTCTTACACTTCAAGCCATATAACCTGGAATGTATTTTTGTTCCCTCTTTCATATCTTCATTACAATTCCGTCACACGCATTAATTTTGCTGTAAGTGCTTTATCTATTTATGGTGTGGAACTACCTCAAATATCTTGGATTTATCTAGCTTTATGGTGTGGAGCTACCTCACCCTTTCACCACTGAGCTCTAATTTTGAGCACCCAAAATTGGAAATGTAGGCATTAATTATAATGTGTGTCTATTACAAAGCTTTCACTTGAGGCACAGAGACAGCTGACAGCATCCACAGCAGGTTCAGTATTGATGAACCTGTAGTTCTCCCAACAACAGGAAACCATTCTTATCCT